TAAAGGGAAAACTTTTTTTCTTTTCACTCTCCTTCCAAACGGAACAGCTTTGAGAGAAATCGGAAAACCCGCATTGAAGGTATGCTAAATGCTAAAGACTATGCTAAAGCCAAAGAGATATGGATTTCTAAATATTTAAAGAAAATTTTTTCTTTTGCTGTGAGTGGGAAGGGAGAGGAAAAAAATTGAAGTAGAAGTTGAAAATAAGGAGCAGACTGCCTAGAATTTTAAAGCGCCACCATTTGAACATTAATAAGACTTCAAAAAGACATATTTTAATTGGAATTTTGTGATTTAATAGCAACCCCAGAAAAAGAAATGGAAAAAGGGAAAAAGTGTTAAAAGAAATAGTCTATCTGGATTGTTTGGTGACTTTGGATCTTTTGGGAAATCTTTTTTCTTTGTTTAAAAACACCCGGGTGGTTGTTTTGGGAAATTTTTTTCCTCTTTATAATGGCATCATCCTTGGATGGATCTAAAACTGAATATCCAAAATATAAAAAGGAAGAACAAGACTGGAAAGATACTTTGGACATTCTTTTTCAATCTCTAGAAATGGTGGTGCGTTCCTGTGGAGAATTGATTGCGCAGCAGGATAATTGGGACAAAGAAGAAACCATCTTTGATGAACATGTGATCCTATTTGGGGAGGAGAAGAAAGAGGAAAAGAAAAAAGGGATTTTAAAACCTAAAAAAACAACCAAAAAAGATAAAAATGAGTTGAAAGATGGATATAAGGTTAGAAAACAACAGGAAGGGGGAAAGCAGAAGAAGAAAAGGGAGATGGAGAGACAAAGGGGTAAAAAGGGTAAGGAAAAGAATAAGCAAGGGAGAAAGGAAGGGGTGAGAAGTCTCAACGATGGGAAGCAAGATTTAAAGAAACAAAATTTATTTAGAGACAATGGGTAAATCTAATTGAAAAAGGGATTCTGTAAGGTACATAAGATTGTGTTATTATAGGCATTTTTAGAATAAAATGTTTAAGATATAAATGAGTATTAATATGTATGATTAAAATGGTATTGACAGGGGTACTAGCTATATTATATATTTATAAATTTTTTTCTTTGTTATTGTTGTTCTTTCTTTCTTTCTTTTTTTCTCTCTCTATATAATATATTGTGTAACTTTAGGATGTGCTAAACAGAATCCCAATACAAGTTATGTGTGATATTAAGTATTATTAGGTTAGGGGAAAGAGTTAAAGGCGTCATACTCCAATCAGTGTACAGGAGAGGTTTTGTTTAAAGAGAAAAAATGAATGGATAGTTTAGAACAGACAAAGAATGACAAGTATTATGATTTGAACTGAGATGAGATAAGTAGAATAAAACTAAGAGAGTTAAAAAAAGGAAGAAGCTATATAGAAAATGGAAAACGGTAATAAGATATGGAATGATATATAAAAGGAACATGATTTTTGAAGTGGTGTCTGTACGATGAGTTTTAACCCGGGATCAAGCAACTTTCAGAAAAGATGTTTTATGTTTTTATGTTTTATGTCTTGTCTGTTTTTGTATTGGAAGAGAATAATGAAAATGTATAAGACAGATGGATATAAAAATGTATACAATCTAAAGTTAAAGAGATATAATTTGAATAAATAGAAGGAAAGGAAGTAATAAAGAGAAGTTCGGGATAAGATATGAAGATGAATAAATAAGGTAAATATATATATTAAATTGTGTTTGTATGGAAATGTGATAACTTGGAATAATTCTGTCTTTAAATAAGATGTTGTATTGGTTTTTTTAGAAAAAGATTTCTTATGTCATCATATTTTATGTTTTGTTTGTTTGTATATTGTTTTGTAAAATCAATAAAATTTGTTTTTTTTAAAAAAAGAAGCAAAATAATGGAAAGGCACCAGGCCCAGATGGACTTCCGGCAGAATTTTACAAAACATTACAAGAATCGTTGAATCTTCCATTGCTAGAAGTTATGAATGAAGTTATGTTAAAGAAAAGGATACCTAAATCATGGTCAGAAGCTTATATTACACTTGTACCAAAAAAGGAGGCTGATCCATTACAAATCAAGAACTACAGACCTATTTCCCTACTAAACGCAGATTATAAAATTTTTGCTTTAATATTGGCAGAAAGACTTAAAAAACACTTAAATAATTTTATCCATCCTGATCAAAATGGATTTCTGCTAAAGAGACAAATTAAAGACAATATGAGAGTAATCTTGGACACTTTGGAATACTATGAGGCACATCCTGAAAAACAAATGGCTTTGATATTTCTAGATGCACAGAAGGCATTTGATAATGTGAAATGGCGATTCATGTTGTTACTGCTGGAACAGATGGGTTTTGCTAGAAAATTTATCAAGCAATAGACGCTATATATCATAAGCAAACGGCAGAGGTAATGATAGAGGGAGAACTGACAGACTCTATTGATATAAGAAAAGAAACAAGACAAGGGTGCCCATTATCACCTCTGTTTGTGTTAACTTTGGAAGTGCTAAATAGAAATATTAGAGATGAAAAGAATATAAAAGGGATGAAAATTAAAAAGGAAGAATTTAAGTTGCAAGCATTTGCAGATGATCTGGTTTTCATCTTAGAAGACCCACTAGAAACAGCATCAAAATTGATAGAAAAGATAGAGACATATGGAAAGGTGGCTGGTTTGAAAATAAATAAAGATAAGACAAAGGTCTTGACAAATAATATGTATTGAAAATTCAGGTCACGAATAAGATCAAGTACTTGGGGATATACTTGACAGCAAGATGCAGTACATTAAAAGAGAATAATTATATCAAAACTTAAGCAGCAGATAGCGCTAGATTTAGCGAAATGGGAAAATTTACAACTGTCATTAATAGGGAGAATATCAACAATCAAGATGAATATGTTACTCAGAATTTTATATTTGTTTCAAACAATTCCAATTAGGCTTGGAAAAGACTATTTTGAAGATTTAAATAAAATTGTGTTGAAATATATATGGCAAGGTAAGAAAGCGAGAATAAAGTTAAAACTTTTGCAAGATGCTAGAATAAGAGGAGGATTTGGTTTGCCTAATTGGGAGTTGTATTACCAAGCTACAAATTTGATGTGGGTTAAGGAATGGATAACATTAAGAAATACTAGATTGTTGACATTAGAAGGACATGATCTGTTGATGGGTTGGCATGCTTTTTTATGGTATAAAGGAACTAAAACACAGGGGTACTTTAGAAGACATGATATACAGGAGTCTCTGTGGTTAAACTGGGAGAAGATTAAAAGACAATGTTATTTGAAAATTCCAGTCTGGCTATCAACTATTGAAGCATTTTCTTATCCTATAATATACAAAAAGGAACAAACAGTTAGATATGGTGAAATATTAAATGAAAAGGGTGAACTTAAATCTATAGAAAAACTAGAGGAACAAGGTATAAAGATGAATTGGTTTTCATATGCGCAAATACATTCAAGGAATGATAAAGATTTTAAAACGGAAAGTTTCTATGATAAACTGATTTAGATAAGATTTTGACAGGTACTGATGCAAAGGTGATTAAAAAATTGTATGGATATTTATTAGAAATTAAACTAGAAGAAGAACAAGTTAAAGAAACTATGATTGCTTGGGGGAAGAATTTTGGATATGGGATTGATCTAGAGAAATGGCAAAAATTGTGATCTCAAAATTATAAAATGACAATGTCAACAATTTGTATAAGATGTTTTACAGGTGGCATTTCCCCCCGACAAGAATAGCAAGAATGTTCAAGAACAAATCGGAAAAATGTTGGAAATGTCATCAGACATCTGGCTCATATTACCATATCTGGTGGACTTGTGCGGATGCTAAAAATTACTGGAGTAAAATCCACATGTGGTTGGAAAAAATGACAACAAAACATATAGATTTGAAACCAGAGATATTTTTATTGGGAATTTTACCTGAAATAAACAGTAAAGATTTGAAATACCTGATTGTAAATGTATTAACAGCGGCTAGGATTCTATTTGCTAAAAACTGGAAGAATGAGAAAATACCATCACAGGAGGAAATCATTAAGAAAATATTGGAATGTGCTGAAATGAGCAGATTAACATTTGAAATTAGAAAATAGGAAGATAAACAATTTTATAAAGTTTGGGATCTATTCTATCAATGGTTAGACAATAAAGTATAGTAATGAAATATGTACACTTTTAGAAAATACTAAATATATAAAGATGTATTTTTTCCTTATTATATCTACAAAATGATTTTAGGATAGATTTGGGATGATAATATGAATTGTCACAAAACAAATTAAGTAAAATATGATTATTTCCTAAAGCATGAATGAATAAAAGTATAGTCAAATGATTGATTAATAATGATACCAATGTATTTAATATTGGATTGAAAATACGAGATCATATACAATGTAATTGTAATTGAAGACTACAAAATGGGAGCACAAAATAATTTGTAAACCAACTGGTACACTGTATGTACATATATGGAAGATGGCCTGATGTTTTTATGTTTTGTTTGTTTATGTTTGTTTTAAAACCAATAAAAATTTATTTAAAAAAAATTAGTGGACCTGTACACTCATGCATCGAAATTCATTGGAGAAGTCAATGATGCTAGGAATGGAGTTGTGGAACAAGAAGGGGCAAGCAAAGGACTTGCTGGCTTCATAACATCAAAATGGATACAAAGATGAACATCCAACAACTGAAAGAAACTATGCTCTACAGGTTAGCATGGAGAGCACTTGCCAAGAGTTGAACATGACTGGTTAAAACAACAACACTTAAATTAAAGAAAAAAGTGGGAAGAAAGGACCTATCTTCACTGTTAGAATATTTCATTGTTCACTCCTCCAATCAATGGTAAGTTCCAAACACCTAACTGTTGAATGTATAGCAACCAAATTATTCTTCAGTCTCTGCGATATTAGCTGGAGAAATTTATGGCCAAACTGAAATGTACATGATAGTCAAAGTTATTTTTGAAATAAACTTGGCCATTTTAATTTTAATTTCTACTTACTGGCTTCTTGTTTAACCTTGTTGACTTCTGCCATTAAAACCACTTCCTTGTCGATGATACTGAAAATGGAAAAAATTTAATTTAGGATATTAATAAGAAACTTGATTAATTATGTCCTTCAAAAAGGTTTTCAAACAGAATTTATGGTAAGAGTTGTGAATATTGTTTTCTGGAGAAAATGTAAATAAAAATGTAAAAAATCAACTTTGTTTTTGCTTCAGATTCATTAAAACAGATCTAGTTCTTTCTATATTAGTGTACAGATCCACCATTAAACCATTATAAACAAATGCAATCTGGCTAATAACACAATGTTTTTGCCCATATGTTCAGTTTATTTATTTTTTAATTTTATTTATTTATTTAGTAGTGTTACATTCTTATATACGATCTTTAAACTCACTAGACATGGACTTAAACCAAATGATGTATATATTTTAGTTTGAAATTGTGGAGTATGTCAAATGCAGTCATTATCAAAGTATTCTATAATGGTTTAATCATTGTTCATTTCTATAATGCTCATGAGACTCTATTATAGCTACACTGATGATGCCACAATATAATTCATTTTTTAAATTTAATGTTGAGTATATTTTCTACCGACCGAACATGGTTTCATCTTCTCTGCTAAAGTTCTCTTGGTTCATTTAACCTGTTAAATGGGATTTTAGAAGCTTCAAAATTAGTCCCTTCCAACTCTGTTGTCCTTTATTCTAAAAGTGTATCCTAATGTAAAGAAATATGGAAAGTAGTAACACATTGGACATTTATTGATCTACATGACATATTTTCCTGCTGTACAATTCCCCATCCAATCTATAAGTTAAAAGGAAACACTATATATGAGCTTGTGGATTGACAGTTTATACATAGTCAACTTTTCCTATCACTGTATTGCTGTATATTGCTAAATACTCAGAAAAATGCCACATGCATCTTTTTCTTTTTCTCAAGAGGGTAAGAAAAGGCACAAAAGAGATGTTTTGAGAGGTGTAGAAAAACTGTTTGATCAAACACATCCCAGGATCTTCTGGGTTTTGGCAAAATGTTTCTTACACTGATACAGTTTCAGTTTGTAAAATGCTATGTGCTTTGGGACATGGTGTTTCATTAAATTACTCCCTTTATGTTTTAGAACATCGTGTTTTATGGATGGAATTAACTTAAATATACTGCTTAAGAAATAACTTACACAACTGCCAATATCTCCCTGTAGATGGCACTCTATGCATATTCAATAGCGCATAGCGCAATATTGTACCAAGATCATTCCTATAATTATTGCATTAGCAGCAATAGGCAGCCGGTACCCTTCTCCAGTACACATTCCTTTTAAGAAACATTTAAAAGTCTCTCTCTTTGTAACTTAGAATTCACCAGGAAGGCATGGAAATTTCTAATGGACAGATTCTTTGAGAAGGCAAAAGTTACAGGGCAACTGAACGTTGTACCTTTGATTGGATAGCACTTGATTCCACATTTAGCTACAGAGCACTATCTTCTCATATTTAATACAGGTTAATGAGATTTGAATAATCCATTGTAAAACATCATAAATTAACATTAGGGTATTTACATAAGCTCTTTTTGCAAGGCTGTATCCAGGCTCCCATATTTGCTTTGGAATTAAGCCCTTTAAATGATTGTTTTATTTCAAGGTATGACTTTCAAATTTCCACTGTGATGTTGATGGCTGAAATACTTTGTCAAGGCCAATATTTGTCTTGGTTGCTCTTTCCTTTTTGTTCCTGAAAACACTTATTTTGGTCCATTTTGCTAACTGGGATTGGATTATCCAAAGCTGGCTTTTAGCTGATGGGAAATGCTTCCTGTGCATGAGACAGGCTCCCCTTACGTAGCTTACCTTGCTTCTCCTGGTGGGAGACTTTCTGGACTACTGTGACTTATGGCAAGGAGAGCTGGAGTAGCTGTAGAGATGTGTGAAAATTGGATACAGGTAGTCCTCACTTAATACCACTTAGTGAATGTTCAGTTACAACACACTCCCCAAAGGTACTTATGAATTTGAAGTTCCAGTGGCACTTGCCCTATGTCACATGACTGCATTTTGGACACTTAGCTACTGGCCCACATTTATAGACCATGTGCCCCATGGACATGTGAGCACAATTTATCTTCTCCCCCTCTCCCAGAAACCAGCATTTACTTCCAAATTATTTTCTAATTACTGCTGCCCTCACTTATCTCCCAATGGTACCTCATGTGACATACTTCCCCTAATCCTGATCTGTGAAAGCAAGAGGGCTCCTGCAATCTACTTGTTTTTTGTTTCCTTAAAATTGGAAAAAGTTGTGTCTAGGAGCCAAAAACATCACTCCCTCCTTTGTGGGAAAGGAGATATTTCCCTTTTGAAACTTAGATGCTAGCTGGCCAACTGTTAAGAAATGTGGAGCACAGTTTGGCAGCCATTAATTATTTCCTTCTGTCTTCACAAATTCACTTCTTGCAGAATCTGAAATGTGAAATACTTGTAGATAAAGACTGAATCAGAATTCTTAGCATGTCAACAAAGTTCAGAAATTAAAAAAAAATTGTAAACTTGACTACATGATTCTATTCAATACAAGGTGCTTAAAGCAGTTGTAATGGGATGTGTTAAATACCTATAATCAGACATAATAAAGAAGCAGATTCTGTTAAAATCGGTAGGTAGCAATAATCCAACTACACAACTTGAGATGGAAGCTAGGAATAATAGATTTTGAAAAACTAATTTAAAAAAACATATGAAAAAAATTAAGACTCTGGACCACATAGCAATAGAGTAGAGTAAATGCTATAAAGAATTTTTGTTATCCTCATTGCTCCATACTAGCAATAATATAAGGTTAAAAATTGACCAGATTTTATAGTCTTAAGACTGGATGATGCTGAAATAAACGGAAAATGTTTCTTAAATACTTAACAGAGCTCCACTCAAGGGCTGTGGACAAGATGAAGGGAAAAGAATGGAGTTATAACTGCAAAAAGAGACATGGTCAGAGCATTTTGGGGCTGTGGGAAAGGCCATTAGAGAGCCCTTAGAGAAGTCTGGAATTATGTTAATTTAATGCATAATAGTTGGCCATGGAAACTCTTTTTTTAAAATCAGCCCAGGGGAGAAAATATGGCCCAAGTAATTTGCCTTCAAAAATATAAATTTTGCATCTTTTTAGCAGAATATACCAAATAAAGGACAAGAATTATTTGGGTGCTTAATGCATGATTGCAGATCTAGAAAAGTTATTTGAAACTCTATCAAATAAGTGATGAATAGAAATGCTGCCTTGCTAGGGGAAAGAAATGAGCACCCCTTTTATTCAGCTAAGAATAAATGATAGTTGTTACATTATGTATTTTTGTGATGGTTTGGAATATAGCACTATTCTATTATTATATCAATTGAATTAGCACAATGCTCAAGATTTGCATAGTAAAACTCATTCTTATTCTGGCTGCAAAAAGAAATTTTAATAGAAGATTCAGACATGTAAAAATTATCCTAGCAAATGGAGTTCAATGTTCTTAAAGTTAGGTAAGTGCAAAATTCCTTATTTCCAATCTTTTTTATTTTAATGAAACTGGGCCCCTGATAACAAATACACACACACATGAAATAGTTTTTCTGTCCATGGAGCTCTTATCTCTATGCTTGACTATACTGTGATGCTCTTTCATTTTCTACTTCATCTGTTCTTTACAGTGTAGATATTCTAGGATAATATCTATACTGTATTTTAATCTAAGGTAGCCAAAAGTCAGAAAGAATCAGGTAGCAACTTGTCACATGGAACACTTTTTGCTGTACAGGCAGTCCTTGTTTAACAACCACTTCTTCAGTGACTGTTTGAAGTTACGACAGCACTGAACAAGTGGTACGTATGATTGGTCCTTGAGGTTTCAGCCATCCCAACCGCCCTGGTCATGTGATCATGACTTAGGTCTTGGTAACTGGCTTTTATTTATGGTAGGCGTACTGTTCCACAGTCACATGACCTTCCCTGACAATTTCTCATAACAAATTCAATAGGAAGCTGGCAAGAAAGATTGCAAGTTGCTCTGATAAGTTATTCACACCTTCCTACTTCCATCAGCAGCCACCCCTGGACCTGGTCTTCTTGCGCTGAGCTTTCTGGGATACTTCTCTCCTGCCAACAGGCAGGTAAAGTGGCTGCTGCCAGGAATTTGCTTAACAACCTATGATTCCCACTTAACAATGGCAAAAAACAATGCTGGGAGTACTATTACTAAGTGATGCAGTCACATGATACATGCTAACATGGCATTACTTAATGATGGGAATTCTAGTCTCAATTACTGTCATTAACTGAGAACTACTTATAAGTTTCTCTCATTTACACATGGTGCAATCTCTAATGTGAAATATATCACCATATCATCATCTACCAGCAATGCCCTTATGCTACTTGGGCAAAATACCACACTGTGTGCAAATGGTCACAAACTTAACACCAGGTCTGAAGACAAGGTAATATTAGAGCATTTCAGCCTCCCTGGATATTCCATTACTGATCTCAAAGTAGCAGTTTTGAAACAAAGAAACTACATAAGCACAACTGAGCATGAGACAGCTAAGCCAACAATCAATTTCAAGTTATCTCGAAGGTCAAAACAATAGGTTTTTTAATCATTGGAATTGTTGGATAATGTACCTATAATCTGCGCCCTATGGAACCTCCCTGTGCAAAACCATCCTGTCATTCCCTCCCCTCCCAAATATTTAAATCTTACAACATTTTAGCTATACAGTTGATGGAATGACCCGTTGCTTATGAAAGCTTCTAACTTACAATAAAATGTAGTGGTCATAAATAGTGCAACCAGACTTTTCCTGACATCTGTTCTTTATGGAAACAAAACCTGCAGAGTTAAACTAATGTATGGCCCAGTATAGGTTTCTGATTTTTCACTGTTTTAAAACCAAGCATTGCGGTTTTCAGCTCATAAGGAATTATTTTGATTGTAATGTTTACAGAATATTATATACTGTATATTATTAATATTATATACTGAAGGTTTTAATATTAGATGACACATAAGGTTTCAACTACTTAGACTGCTAATATATACTGTTATATGCTAGAGATGACTAGCGTATCATAGTATGTATTAGACTACACTAATATACAGGTCTTTGATACTTTAGGTGCCTGTGACCATGAACACATTCTATTATGGTATTCCCTTTTGGGGTAAGGAATGTCATGCAAAGCATAGAAAGTAAGAAATAGACAAAAAGGAGAGAATAGACAGAGGAGAGAGAAAGGATAAAATATATCTAATAGTCTACAGTAAGTATGTCAAACTTGTGGCCCATGAGCCAGATGCATTACACTCTGGTTATGCCCACCCCTGGTTTAACGAAGGGGAAAAAAGTTGTGATACATCACATGACAACAACATGTCATCATGAGTTTGACACCCCTGGTCTACAGCAATGCCATTCACTACATCTCTCTATCCCTTTTTATGTGGAAAGTATTCTTGCTTCAATACCATATGACTGGTTCCTTATTTTTGTGATATTCCACAAAATCTTAAAATGATGATGAAGTGGTCCACATAAAGAAAAAACGGGGAAACATCAGATTAGATAGCAGCTGTTCCATGGTCTTAAATATAGACCATTCCTGCTTACTTAGAATTAAGGTAAGGGAATATTAAATTGAGGGGTCAATTGAAGCAGCAAAAAAGTCTTCCTTATAGAGTGAGAGCCGAATGGTATTTTTTGTAAAATAATTAAATCATTCTACTTACCAGTTATGTAATTCAGAAAAGGCAGCTTTAATTTTCTTTACTGAATTATCCACCTCCTCTTTGACCATCATGCGGTATCGAGTCAGTGAAACAGTGCAGCGCTGAAGATCTTTAACTGATTTCTCAATATTTAGACCTGTAAGAAAAAAACAACCATCCTTACTATGCTACGTTTATATTCCAGCTTTTCTCTAGGAGCTTGAAACAGGGTACCTCCTCAAATTTTACCTCTACATCAAGAACCCTGTGACTGGGCTGAGGAAGGAAGGCTGAACCATAATCACCAAGAGAGCTTTCATGTTGATACTGACCTCCCTGCTCTTGATTAAAGGGGCGTTAGTACTTACCTGATAAGCCTGTTCTCTTTGAGCTGCAAAGAGCATCCATTAGTGGGAGGTGCTTCAGTCTCTGAATTCTTAGGCTGAGCTTGAATTGAGGAACGCTCCTCCTACTCCATGTGACTCCACCACAGCGTTTCCCAGTTTTGCGAAGGTGAGATGAAAAAAGGTTGCTCTTATCCCTATCACCTAAAAAAAAAATTGGTCCTTGGCCGAGAGAGAGGCCCCACCAGACGGAAAAAAAGGGTGGGGCTGGATGCTCTTCGTAGCTCAAAGAGAACGGGCGTATCAGGTAAGTACCAACGCCCCTTCTCCAATGAGCTGCTCAGAGCATCCAGTAGTGGGACATACCAAAGCTTGGCCTGTCCTATGGGAGGGACTCCGTGTGGTCCAGAATCTCCTTAGGGTCCCCAAGAACCCACTGCAGAACCCATCTGCCAAAAGAAGCCTCCGCAGAGGCAAACACGTCAATTTTATAGTGCCTGATGAAAGGGGATGGTGAGGCCCAAGTTGCTGCCCGGCAGATTTCGATTATAGGTGCCTGGGTAGCCCAAGCTGCCGAAGTGGCCGCGCTCCTAGTAGAGTGAGCTGTTATACCCTTGGGAACCTGTAGGGCCTGGGACTGATACGATCTAGCTATGGCTGGCCTAATCCAGCATCCTATAGTACTATAGTAGAAGGTGACACCCTGTGCCCTTGTGTTTTGGGTTGAAAGGAAAGAAATAGGGCCTCCGATTTCCTGAAGGGCTTTGTGCGTTTGATATAGATTCACAGAGCGCGCTTTACATCGAGTTTGTGCCATTGCTGTTCCCTTTCCTGTGATGGTCTGGGACAAAAATTTGGAAGGATGAGCTCTTGGGCTCTATGGAAGGCCGAATTGACTTTGGGCAAAAAGGTGGGATTGGGTCGGAGGATCACCCGATCGGCGTGGAAGACACAGAGGTCTTGCCTGACTGACAAGGCTGCTATTTCCGATATGCGCCAAGCGGATGTAATGGCTACCAGGAAAACTACTTTATATGTCAGAAATTGGAGGCCTGTCTCCCTCAGAGGTTCGAAAGGTTCTTTGGTGAGAGAAGGACCTTGTTAAGGTCCCAGGTGGGGTAACGGTGCACCGGGGGGAGACGCAAGTTGGTAGCCCATCTAAGAAAAGCCCGTATGCGTGTGTGGTGAGAGAGGGAACTGAGACCCTCACAAGAAAGGACTGATGTCAGGGCAGCTACCTGATGCTTCAGTGTATTAGGAGACAGCCCCTTGTCAAGTCCTTCCTGAAGAAATTCTAAATTTGAAGAAATTTGTGTGATAGAGGGGGAAACTGGGTTAATTTGAAACTTGCTGCACCATCTACAGAAAATGGCCCATGTGGCATTGTAAATTCTAATGGTTGGTGGTCATCTGGCAGCTAGGATGGTGTCAATAACCTTGTTTGAGAGCATTTTGCTCCTGAAACTGCTCCGCTCAACCTCCAGACGGTCAGTTGGAACCATTGCGGATCTGGGTGTAGGAGGGGCCCCTGGGATAGGGAGATTCTGTCTGGTGGGATCCTCCAGGGAGGGGCCACTGAGAGAATGCGGAGGTCTGCAAACCACGGCCGTCTGGGCCAGTGAGGTGCCACTAGGAGCAATTCCGCCTTTTTGTGGAGCAGCTTCTGAATAACCCTGGGCACCAGAGCCAGAGGGGGGAATGCATAGAGGAGTCTCGAGGGCCATGGGCAGTGGAGCGCATTGTGATTCTCCACTCCTTGGGATGGATATCTTGAAAAGAATCTTGGGAGCTGGGTATTGAGAGGAGACAAACAGGTCTACCACCAGTTGCCCGAATACCCTTGCTGCTTCCTTGAACAGGGATGGGTGGAGGTGCCACTCTGACTGGTCTATGGTGGCCCTGCTTAACCAGTCTGCTTGGGTATTTGATAGCCCCGATATGTGCTCTGCCTTGAGAGACAGAAGATTGTTCTCCGCCCAGTGACACAGGCGCTCGGCTTCCCTCATTAACTGTATTGTGTGCCCCCTTGTTTGTTGATGTGGGCTTTGGCTGTCACGTTGTCTGTTTAAATGAGAATGTGCTGCCCGCGTACCTGGGGGAGGAAGCTGCGCAGGGCCAGGTGCACGGTGTGAAGCTCCAGCCAATTTATACTGCACGATTGTTCTATTGCAGACCATCTGCCCTGGGATGTGAGTGACTGGAAGTGGGCGCCCCATCCGTATAGACTGGCATCTGTGGTGATAGTCAGCTTTTGAGGTTCCTTGAAGAAACAGCCCTTGTTGATGACTGGTCTTGCCTACCAGAGGAGGGACGTGAGGACCTTGAGAGGAACCCTGACTTTGAGCTTGGAATTGCTTCTGCCAGATCTCTGGTACGGGAGCAGGAACCACTGGAGGGATCTGGTGTGAAGACGGGTCCAGGGAACAATAGAAATGCACGAAATCATTTTTCCCAATAGTTTTGACAAATCCAGTAAGGCCACCCTCCTACAGTGCCTGATCTCCCTAACCAATTTCTGAATACTAAGTAGCCTATCTGAAGACAGGTAGACTTTGCCTTCCACCATGTTAATAAGTGCCCCCAGATGGGTTATTCAGGTAGAAGGAGATAATTGGCTCTTCTTCCAATTTATGAGAAACCCATGTTCTTGAAGGGAAGTTAAGGTGGCCTGGGTGTCTTTCACTGCTTGATCGATAGATGGGGACTGGATCAAAATATCATCCAGGTAACATTGGAGATGAATGGGGTGTTCCTAATATGGGCAGCCAGCGCTGCAAGGACCTTGGTAAAAGTCCTGGGGGCGGAGGCCAGTCCAAAGGGAAGGGCCACGTATTCAAAGTGTTGGTTATTGTAGCAGAACCTTAAGAATTTGGAATGGGAAGGCCGAATGGCAATATGTAAGTATGCTTCTGTCAAGTCTATGGATGTGAGCACGTCCCCTTGCCTGATACCCAGCAGTATCGATTGAAGCGTATGCATTTTGAATTTGTGGTAAGTTAAAAAGCGGTTAAGTCGCTTTAGATCTAAGATCGCCCTCTATCCCCCTTTTTGTTTTTTTGGGACAACAAAAAGGTGAGAGTAAAAGCCCCATCCTCATTGCTCGGGCTGTACAGGTTGGATGGCACTTATGCTTAGGAGATGCTGGATGGCGGAATCCATTAGGTTACATTTGACCGGGTCTCTGGAGAGGGGGGATGACATAAAGAAGTTTGGGGGAGCGGAATGGAACTCGAGGGCGAGGCCAAATCTAATGGTGTCCCTGACCCAAGAGTCAGAGGTAGAAGAATCCCATTGACTGGCGAATGACTTTAGACATCTGCCAATGGGGATAGAGTCCCTTAACCTATCTCAGATGGTGGAAGGGCCTACTTCCGATTCCCCGAAAAGGCCTTTTATATTGGCTGCCCCTCCTGCTCCTTTCTCCCTAATTGGGCCTATCCTGGAATTGACCCGATCTGAATGATGGAGGCCTCTGATACCTGGGGGAGAAGGGGGCCTTATAGGAGGGTCGAAAGGAGCCCCTCCGAAAGGGCTGTAACGATCTGAAGTCTGACCTTTGGGCCAGGGAAGGGAGGAATTTTTTCTTATTACGAGTTTCCATTAGTAAAGGGTCCAGGGAGGAGCCGAACAGTTTGTCCCCCACTATGGGGGAGGGGGCCAGCTTGGCTTTGCTCTTAAAGTCTGCTTGCGAGAGCCTGAGCCATAGTAGACGGTGGGCTTGGATGTGTGATGTAATTGCCCTAGCAGAAAATTTGACTGCGTGGTATGTGGCATCCACCGAGAACTCGGCTGCGGCGGTAAGCTTGGCAATGTCCTGGTGTGCCCTGGTGTTGGAAGGAGGGACATGTTGTTTGAGCTGACAAAGCCATCGAATTGATGACCTTGTAAAAAAAGATGCGGCCATAGCCGATCTGATGGACCATGCGTCCGACTGATGGGCCTTGCGCAGGGCCAGCTCGGCTCGCTTTTCCTCTGGTTTTAAGGCCTCCAACGCATCAGTCGGAGTCGAGGAGGATGCCAGGCCCACAATGGGCTCGTCGACCTCGGGGGTATTTAACAGTTTAGAAAAATCTGGATCCAAATTAAAGTATTTTTTTTGTGGCTGGAGGGGGCTGGGGGGACCACTACAGACGCTAGTTGCTTTTGCACCAGATCTGCAAAGATAGGTGGAGCTGGAATAACCTCGGCCTCTACTACAGGCTGGTTAAAAATGAGATCCTCAGGCCCCTCCGTTGAAGGGGCAGGGAGGTCTGAGGGAGATTGCTTACCTAGGCCTGAAATGTTTTTGGCCTTGAATAATAAGGATTTGAATAGCTATGGCCTAAAGAGGCCCACAAAGGCAGGCTGGTCAGGGGTGAGCCCCTCGTCCTCGGACATTTCATCTTCTAGAGGGTCTACTTCTGATAGGGGCTCGCTGTAGTGCATAGACCCCAAATCAAAGTCGTCTGGTTCCATGAACTGATCGCATTCCTCCTCCCCCTCTTCCACCACCTCCTCCCACCCTTGAAGGGGGGACTCCCTATGCAAGGGTACCTGAGCCAGATGTTGTTCCGACCTGGGCAGGGACCTCACAGAGTGAGATTCCTGGTCAGAATCTGCCGGATACTGAATGGGCCTGGTGGCTTGTTGGATGCCAGCTGCGACCCCTTGGCGAATAGCCAACTCCATCCAAGATCTTATCTTTTCTGGGACCTCCTCAATGAGAGACTACTCTTGATGGAGGCCAGCTGCTATTGGGGTGAAGGTGGCTTCTGGAGCCCTTCTGGCCGATGTTCCAGGAACCTGAGCCTGTTGTTCCTGAGAGGGCAAGCTGCGCCTGGATGAGAAGGAAACATCTGGGGGAGGGGGAGGTTGAGCAGAGGTAGAGGGACTGGAGGATGGAAGAACCTGATAGAGGGACTGGAGGATGGAAGAACCTGAGGCACCTTGAATGCTTCTTAAGATCGCCTGTCAATTTCTTTTTGCAGGGTCTTGTGGTGCCTTAAGGCGTCCCTCTGGGCAGCTTTGGAGGTCTTCTTAGCTTGCTTGCACAAGTGATGGGTTTTGGCCTTTGCCTTCAATGAAGATCCTCTAGAGATGTTATCATCTGCCATTACAATGATTTAAATGTAGCGGTAATAGATTTGAGATCAATAAAAGGCGGTTGGCACGCCCAGGGCCCAATCTGAAGCAAAACCGGTTGCCCGGATCAATATTTACGTCCCCCTTTTGTTATAATTTTGCTTTTTTTAAATATCTCTCTATATAGACATGTAACCAAATAGAAAACAATTGAGTCATACCTCAGTGATAATATTTTGAGTATTAAAATATTATACTGTCAAAATATGAAATCAATATTATGCTTATAATGATATATGAGTTGCTGTATTGTATCCCTGCTCCTGGGATAATGAAAGAGAGCCAATTAGCCAAATATCGAAATGCCTAAGCCCAGTGGAAATTAAAGCTAGGGCCTTCAGCAGCCTCTCTGCACAGGCGGACACCAGGCCTGGGTGCAGCTGCTGCGCCGCTGGAGATGAGCTGTGGGGTTGAGCCAATGAGTGTTCCAATTGATTACAATCACAATTAGTAATTAGGGAATAATCACTCTGAAAAGCCAGGCGGGGGCCTGTTACTTTGAATAAATTCCACTCACAGCCTCAATTTAGTAATAAACAAAATGGCGTGCGCCACAAGGAAGCATCCAAAATGGCGGCTGCTAGCACACCGTGCCTCTCAGCGGCTTCCACACCTGGCAGATCGAAGCCGAAGCTCTATCTATAGAGGTGGCCAGGGAAGGAGAGAGTAGGCTTTCTCCTGTTAAGGTAAAAAACAGCACTCGAAGGTGGTGGGGAAAAGCATGGCACGACTCGAACGGAGCAAGCAAATACAAGCCACTGTGAAATGGAGCGAGAAAAACAAAGCGGCAACGAATTAAAGACAGAGAGAGGGATTTTGGCTATGGGAGGTAGTGCGAGGATCGCTACTGGCCCTCCCTTCGCCTCCCTTGGGGGCGAAACTGCGCTTCCCCTTAGTGGCAAGAATGCCAATTTTAGCAATTGTGCAGGGGATAAGGAGAAAGCAATTCAAACCTGAAAGAAAGCTGATCTAGAGCTGATTGAGAGAGCTGAGAGAATCAAAAATTTCCTGCTTCGGCCAAGGAGCTAAGAACAGAACAGCCTGTCTCGCACGAGGCTGAGCAAAAACTGGGGAACGCTGTGGAGGAGTCACGTGGAGGAGGAGGAGCGTTCCTCAGTTCAAGCTCAGCCTAAGAATGCAGAGACTGAAGCACCTCCCACTACTGGATGCTCTGAGCAGCTCATAGGAGAACACTTCAATCACTAGAACACATTGCCTCATCAATTGCTATTTCACTAACAACCTTGATTAAAAAAAGATCAGATATTGATGAAGCAAACATGCAAACAGTTATACAATACTTATTATAGATATATTAAGAAGTTCTTTTGGAATTATACAGGGTATGTTTTAAAAGTACAACAATTTTAGAAAATAATTGAAAAAAACAGGGAGTATTCAACCGGTGTTACTACCAGTTCGGTGACTACGTCTTGCGTAGTCCCCTGACCAATATTGTAAACCATATCATTTCAATTTTGTCACAAAAAGAAGGCTATTCTTCTGATCTCCTGTATAATTGAGAGAGACCAGGAAATTCTGGAGGTTAAGGACAAAGAGGCTACAAATACATCTAACTTCAGCTGGTAGAAAGTGGTACAAAAGACAGAAGCCGCAGGAAGAGTCTCATTATAATAATTATACAGAATCCAATCTGGGTCAGTCGGTGGGACCAGAAGTTTAGTCTTCCAAGCTTTTGAACTCATGCTGGAGCCCATCCTCAGGGAACTTCTCTGTAGGAGAGTGTGTGCTTTGAGCTATTCTATGTGTACAACAAGTACTTGTACAAGTACTTAGGAGGCGAGGGCTTGGCAGCACAAGAAAACAACAGCCAACAACTTAATATCATCAACACCTCAATCAACATCTTGACAGCTACACTCAATAGGCACCATATAAACAACACACACAGAATAGCCAAAGCACACACTCTGCTAGAGAGAAATTCCCTGAGGATGGGTTCCAGCACAAAAAGTTCAGAAAACTTCCTAAAGTTCAGAAGACTACACTTCTGGTCCCGGTCACCAACCCAGATTGGATTCTGCAACATTGTCCTGGGACACATCTATTCACCTTCATTCATAATAATTATATGATTTTGTAACTCAAGTCAGATGCTACCAGATATATTTGTCTATAAGATAAGAAATATATTTACTTTTACAGGATAGGAAAAATATAATTACATTCGCTTCTGAAATGAATGGTGAACAGCTGGGAATGATAATGAATATTTATCCAGCTGAATTGAATCTTAATCTGTGTTACCTCTTTTCTGGATTAAATCTTCTGCTTTCATTTCAAGATCAGATGCAGGGACATGCAGTGATTTAATAGTGGTAGTTGGTACTTTTGATTTTGTACTACCAACATTGCACTGAAGTGGTGGTGAATATTTGAAAGGATCAGGAAGCTCTCTGCTATTTTGTTCTGGCTCTATAGACGCTTTTGTGGATTCTTCTTTTTTGTCTAGAAAAACAAATAAATAAAACAATATAAATGATATGCAAGCAAGACCAGAAAATACTCTTGTGTCAAGATGAGCAACAAATAAATTTAATAAATAATAACATTAATCTTGGACAGTAAACAGAAAGAAACACTGAAATAAAGCAGAAATTATTTCAATAGGATTTATTTGCAGAACTGCCTTTTTAAGATTGCCTGAAGAGAGATTGCTATGATTCAGGTACAATCAATCAAGTTATTTTGAGACAAAAAAGGCATATCTTCTCAATAAAAGATTAATTAAACCTTTTAAATTCAGCAAACAATATTATATTCCAGCTACTCTGCTGATTAGGACAAGTGACAAAAATGCCCAAAATAAAGAGGGAAGCAACGAAAATGGTATCAGAGGACAGAACAGCAGAAGCAGCCAATCATGTTGCATGGCATACTGTACATGCCAAGATCAGGAAAGTGCTCTGCATTATGAAATACTGTGCCGAAAATAGTTAAGAAAATTACCTTTAAGGAAACTAAAAAGAAGAAGGAAGCAAAAGCTGTGAGATCAATCATATAAGATAGGATATGGGAAAAACTGGTTTAGCTCACTTGTGAATGTCAATTCACATTTGCTACAAAACTATATGGTTGGGCTTAGTTTTGGGGGAGGAAAATAAGGGAAAAAAATCTGCCTCTGCCTACCAGCATCCATCGGCATTCATCTGGCTAGCGCCCTGTCAGTGTGTAAGAGAGTTGAGGCCTGTTTGGAAAGTGAACCAGTATTTGTTGTGTGAGCAAGGAGACAATAATGTTATGTACTAAAGCTGCTTGGTGCTGTGAAACTAAAACTGAAACTGAAATTCCTCTCCTCTGTTTGTGTTTTGCATTTGGAATGTATTTCTTTTCAGGTGGGGGGGAGTAGAACTCCTTAGCATCAGAGCATGTTGATAATAATATACAAAATACTACTGCTCTGATGATCATTTTGAAAAATTCTTTCTTAGTGAGCACCTAGAAACCAAAAGGAACATATATGCCAAATTTCAAGTTTGTAGGCTTTACGATTCTGCAGATTTTGTGTGCACATCTTCTTTAATATTCATTTGATGTATATCAAAACATTGGAGAGAACATTAAGGTAATACATACACACACACAAAATACCACTCATGCATCATCACAAAATCATCACAAAATGATGTATGAGAGATTTTGTGATGATGCATGAGTGGTATTTTGTGTGTGTATATGTGTTACCTTAATGTTCTCTCCAATGTTCTGACATACATCAAATGAATATTAAAGATGTGCACAAAAATTTCATTTAACAGTGAAAAATATATATTAATTTACTTAAATCCTGGCTGACTGAGAATGGTGGAATCAAGCTGATCTTAACATACGCACACTGACCTGCTATTTCTGGTCTTGCCATTCTCCTGTTCTTGTATTCCCAGATCTTTTCTTCATGAGGATTTTTTGATTTTTCACTGGCATATCTGCCAGGGAAAGTATCTTTAGCACAGCCATTCAGCCGGCAGTCATTTACTTTTTGGGATTCCAGAGACACTTTTTCTGTTCCATCTTCTCTACCCTTTGTATCTTTGTTACGGTGATGTTGTTTTGATTTGCTTCTTTTTCTTTTGCTGTTCTGCATTAAATAAGGTTAGCAATATTACTCCACATGGGTCATGCTGCAATAGGAAAAACAAATCCACACACATTTCTTTCTTTCAACTGCAACTTCTACTCAATGTACTAAATGTTATTATCAGGGCTTCATTCATGTTTCTTGAAATACATATGAAGTAAAGGAAACAAGGTGATAAAATAATTATAAACAGTTACAACTGAGCATTGGATGTTTAAATAAAATTATTTTTAAAAGCATATAGCCTATTTAGCTCCCCTGAAATGTTTTTTTTAAATTTTTCCCATTTTATTCAGTCACTGGTACATAAAAGGAGAAAAGGGGATGTTTTTCTGAAGAATGCTATCTCCAGAATTATGTGTTAAATTTTGCAACTGTTGGATTAATTATAATAACTCCCCATGCTCCAGAGTGTCTACTCAATAATTAGGTTAAGTTAAAATTGTATAAATAAAAGTGAGAAACACTAGCTAAAATCTGTGATCTAAACAGAACCATCAGAGTTCTTGCCTGTTGAAAGTAATTGTTATGTATGTGTGCGCAAGGATTTCTAAAGAGTTTGGTAAAAGAAACTAAGATGGTGGCTACAGTGGAGCAAACAAAACTACTCCTGCTTCTTATGTACGACAAGTGTAAAAAGTGGGTGGAATTGTCATTCTATCATAGTACTTTAATTTTGACTATACCTTGCATAGACTCTATGTCTATACGTAGACCTCCATATAATGACACTCTGCCCATCACATACACATAAGAGTGAAGAGCTCCATACTGGATCCAGTTTAGTTTGGACCCAGTGTTCAAACTAATGTTTGAACTAGCGTTCAATGTTAGTATTAGTTTGGATAGAGCAAGAACATAGCAACAAAAAAAGAGATGGTTTCTTAGTATCAGGTGGGGTACATATGGCATAAAGAACATAGATATAGCTTTATTGGGCTGTTGTCAATGTATCTTCAGTAATTTGTGTGGCTTTAACTTGGTAGCCATCTCTATATAATTGAGATAGCAGCTTATAATGCTTATTACGCTTACTGCAAATAAATACTCTTTAAAAATTATTCAAGGATTAGTTAAAAGAGAAGAACTGTTTATTTTTAAAAAAATAAATGTTCAAAGATTCAGTAAGGTGGGCTACTTCAACTGTTTTGATTTTTTGTCAAATTATACAGGACACTCTGCAAGTACACAGATGGCAACTGCAAGGAATAATTAAAATTAAAAGTGCCTATTGATTATGAAGCCTCTTGTGTGCAGATGTGGAACTATGCTCACAAAAAAGCAGAACATCTGGCAAAAAACGATGGCCACAAATCAGTTGCTCAGATCTGCCTGCCTGCCTAGCTAGCTAGCTAGCCAGCTAGCCTTTGGGGGTGCAATAGCTTGGTGGTTAAAGACTCTCAGCTTTCAGTTGGCAGCCTTGGTTCAAGTACCAAGCACTGCATGACAGGGTGAGCTCCTGTTACTTGTCCCGGCTCCTGCCCACTTAGCAGTCCAAAAACATGCAAATGCAAGTAGATAAATAGGTACCAATTCAGTGGGAGGGTAACAGGATTCCATGTATCTCAGCATATAGTCATGCTGGCCATATGACCACGGAAGCATCTTCAGACAATGCTAGCTCCCTCAGCTAAGAAACGGAGATGAGCACCAACTCATTGAACAGGGGAAATTATTAGCATTACCATTATCCTGCCTTTATTATTTTTACAAATAACTTAAGGCAGAGAACAGTTCCAACACACCTTCCTCCTCCTGTTTTCCCTACACCGGCAACCTAGTATGGTGAGTTGGGCTGGCAGAGAGTGAGTAGCCCAAAGTCACCCAGTTGGTTTTCATGGTTAAGGCAGGACTAGAACTCACTGAATCCCTGCTTTCTACTGTAGTGCTTTAACCACTAGACCAAACTGGTTTCCAAATTTTATGCAGATATGAGTTTAAATAATTAATTCAGCTTTAGAATCCATTACCTTCTTTTTCCCAGTCATATTCCATTCTTTTAGAAATTGAAGTGCGCTACCTGAATAGGAGAAGAGAAGGAATGATCAATATACAATAAGCAACAATAGTGGCTCAGAAGAGTTTCCCATCTTAGAGTGCCACTGATGTTTTAATACTCTGGAAGGTGTTCAGATTTTTAAGAACTGTCCTTGCAATCCTGAGATGCATCAAGAATGCTTCTCTACAGTTAAGAGACAGGTTTGGTTTCTTTGGCTGTCAGAGTTTGGTACTATCTCATTAATTTCTTATTAAAATTATTTTTCCCTCAGTGGGTCTGTTTTAATAACCTTTCTAAATTATCAGCAAAGCAGCCATAAAGTTAAGTCAACTTTATGGCATTTCCCCCACCCCCATATCCCCAAATATTCTTTCTTGGATTTTCTTGGATCCTGGAGGTTATTGAAAATTTGCTGACAATTTCTATATAGGGCTTATTGGTGATGCTTATAAATCCCTTCTCAAGTGACAAAACAAGAAGAATAGCCTCCTTTCAAGAAATGTTGAATATTGCCTTTTAATAGGGTACACAGCCTTTATTTCACCTGTGCAAAGAATGAAAAGTTTAGCAATTAATGCTTGTTTCTGAAGACTCAGTGAAATGCAAAAAGCATACAGACCATCCATAAAAGCTTGTACTGCCTTGTTTACATTGTTATCAAACTGCTGTAACACCAGCACTATCTCATTGTTGCTTTTGTTGGGAACAACTGAACGCACTGCATTGATCTGCAAGTAAGAGAAAAATACAATTTGAAACAAGGAAAGGGCTATTAATGCAAAACAAAATACAAATCAAAAGACCAATTTGTGTTGTATTTTTGTAATACGAATTTGCAATTATCTTTCAGACTTGCAGTAGCCTATTTGTATAAAATAATCAGAATCTCTTAATGCCAGTGGTACGATAGAAAGAACATGTGAAAATTGGTTCCCCCTTTTTACTATATGTCTAATAAATCCCATATTGCAGTTAACCTACAGCTGCTTCCCCTTTCTTGGCAGCAACTTTTTCTTCTTCCCACCTGAAAATTAGTCCTGACATTTCTATTTATTTGCATCATGCAGTTGCTTGTTAAATTTTGACCGGCGTTGCAGACCAGGTTTTCATACAAGGGCAGCTGTTATATGCACTGTGCCAGCTGAGATAGGCTTTTGACATTTCAAATTTGATAAATAGCATTTTCATGTTATAAATTTTCAACAAAACTAAATGTCCCAGAAGCCCTGTGGTCTGCTTTCATCTGGCTATCCAACTGGTCTACAACCACTATGCCTCTTCTAGGATAATACATGATATGCACGATGGAAATTTTCAGATATGTGCTTTCTATTTAGCCCAGGTCATTGCAGAAGTATGACTATACCACTGAAGATGGGTAAAGAACAAAGGATGATAAAAACATCTGCGTCCCATACTTCAGACACATTATGTAAGACCTAGGTCTCTAGAAAAGATTCTGATGCTGGGGAAAGTGGAATGAAATATGACCAGTGGCAAAATGGAAGGACAGAGTTATAGTGGGCAATAGGTGCAACACTGGAAAGGGCAGATCATTATAGAGAAAATCTATGTGGTCACTAAGAGTCAACACTGACTTTTGATAGCACATCATCAATCAATAAATCAATATCAATAAATCAAGTTGCTAATAAAAATATCCTACCAGTCACATGTATTATGTTGCTTAACTCACTTTCCATATGGTTATCAATATCCCTACAAATGTTTTTTAAAGTGTCACTGATTTGTGTTAAATGTGTGATGGTTTAATAAAAGTTGGTTTTTGCCAATAAATAAAGAAATAAAACAAAATAAAAAGAAGAAAGTTGGTTTTTGCTTTGCTTTGCTTTTGGCATTTTTAATTCTTATTTTTAATGGTTGCAAATTTTTTGCTCCTCTTAAGTCATAAATATGCAGAACCTCATGCATTAATTAATAACAAGCAAAATTTATTTCAGTAGGTCTAATTTGCATGTTAAATTATACCTGCTGACATTCTGTTATGTCAACATTTTATAAGGATGTATGTATCCTGTCATCTCCTGCATCTAACCACAAAGGAGAAGCTAATGCAACAGAGCATGATGAAGACAAGACAGGCAATTAATTAATAGGGAAAGTATCTTAAGGAAAATGAAAGAAATTTTAGATTGCAAAGTTAAGATGTGCCCTTAAAGAAAGTGGGCTTGACTTCTATGAAAATACAAGATAAATATAAATTTAATTAAACTAGGAGGAAGATTCTGAATGTAGGAATAACACTGATTATATAAAACCATACAAGGTATTAAAATTGGGTGTCCAAAAAGTTATAGCTACTGATAAAAAATTACTTCAGTAATAAGAGGACATATATCAACTGATATAATGTAGCGTTTGTAATGCTAGACTGTGACAAGAAAACCCAGGTTCAAATTCCCTATCAAACATGGAGTTCATTAGATACCCAACGCAGCCTGATGGTGTTGCCGTAAGGACTAACTAATGAATGATACAATGATACATTTTGAGCTCATATTATCCAGACCAGTGGTCGCCAATGGGTGGGCTGAAGCCCACTGGTGGGCCATGAGAAAATTTTGGTGAGCCACAGAGAAATCTCGCCCCCAGAGCACCCCCACAAAGCAATTAATCCAGGCTGCGCAGAAACACAAGGCTGTGCCACCCACATGGCCCGCAGGAACCATCCCCGCCTACTCACTCCTTACCCGGTAAACTTGCCTGCTAAGTTGCTATTTTTCCTTTTTCCGACCATCATCTGTTCTGCTGTGCTGGGAGATTTAGATTAGCTAGGAAGCAGGAAATGGTTGGATTTCTTGCTTTCTAGCTAGTCTTTAGATCTTTGGCTTGGCATAGTCGAACCTCCCTTAGGACTGAAGGTTTGCTTGCAAGCAAATTCAGTGCAGACTCACGGCAAGCAAATTTGAGAGACTGAGCTAACCAATGGCAGATAGATAGATCTCTGAATGATTCTGTGAGCAACTCAATCTGCCTGCTTTGCCTGATTTTGGATAAAAGTTGCTCTTTTTTTATAAAAAATTCAATATTTATATAAATATTTATAATATTTACATAAAAGCCATGCCCAGCCAGTCACATGACCATCAAGCCACACCCACAAATTAGGCCATGCCCACAGAACCGGTTAGTGGTCCCTGGGATCTAAAATTATGAGTTTGGTGGTCCCTGAGATTCAAAAGGTTGGCGACCCCGATCCAGACAACAACAGCCTAGAGCTGAGTTCCAAACAGGAAAGGGGATTGTTATATAGCAAAACCTGAGATGCATTCGTGTTATCAAGAAGCAGAATTTAAACATTTTTGTCTGAAGTAGGAATGCAGGGCAGCTAGCTCAAGGACATCCACCAAGCATGGGAATATCGACTAAGTCTTTCATCTTCTATGGAAAGCTGGAGTGTGCATTGTTTAAGGTTTGAATGGACTGATCTATGTGTCCTGTGTGCTGCGTGATGTGATCATTAAAAATCGTACCTTTTCCTTGATGTTTGCTGGTGAACTGATTTCTGTCATCTCCTACTTGAAAGTGCTACAATAAACAACTGCAAGCTGCAAAACAAAATACATACAGCAAGTTATGCATATAGTATGAATACTTTAATTTTCTATGTCCTGCCCATTCAAGAATAGGACTGCTAATGTTTTAAATTTTCCTACTGCTTTAGTCTAATAACCTAAATGTCATGCAGAAGGCCTGGAAATGGCTCATTTATCGATTTATATAGATCAAATTTCTATTAATAACACAGAAAGAGGCCATGACATCTCCCCACCCACCCACCCACCCACCAGGGCTGGGCTGATAGTAAAAGGAAAATGACACATTCTCGGGAATCAAACTGCGGAGACATTATCTGTTCATCAACAAAAGTTTTTATTAATGGAAAAATTACTTTTGGAAGCTCAAACCTAAAAAATTTCTACAGTTCTTACTTTGGGTTTACTATGGCAAGACCCTACTGCACTAGGCCTTAGTCTGGCCAAACAAATGCTGTGTGTGAAGGGAGAGAAAAAAAGCAAAATTCAACATTACTGGGAGTAAAAATAAATATCTGAAGTTGCAGATTCTGCCAGATTCCATTTTAAAACTTCAGCCCACACAAGTTCAGCATTGAAAGAACTATTTCAAGAAGATGTAGCAACAAAATTCAGGAATGAATATATTTGAGGAACAGTGATATTATTTTTCATTAATTATTTCAATATATTGTATATTACAGATGGTCCTTGACAACAGAGCCCAAAATTTCTATTGCTAAGCAAGACAGTTAAGTAAATGTTGTCCATTTTACAATGTTTCTTGCAACAATTGTTAAGTGAATCACTGCAGTTGTTAAATTAGTAACATGGTTATTAAGGGAATCTGGCTTTCTTGCTAATCAGGTCATAAAAGGTGATCATACGACCCCAGGACACTGCAATGATCATAAATACATGCCAGTTGCCAAGATTTGATCCTGTGACCATGGGGAAACTGCAATGGTCGTAAGTATGAAAAATGGTCATGTCACTTTCCCTCCCATGCTGTTGTAACTTTGAATGGTTTCTAAATGAATGGTTGTAAGTTGAGGACTACTTGTACGTAACAGGACTTTATAGAGTTTAAGCCTGCAGAATTTATTTTGTTTTGTACTAGAATACTGGATTACACGAAGTATGGCAGTTACCAAAAATATTCCCATCAACTGGAATACTTCAAAATAATATAGGACTGTTATTCTCAGCAGCTTTAACCACCATAGTCATTAGTGAAAGATGCCAGAAGTCACGGATCACTTGCTTCTAAAATTTATGGCTGATCGACTTGGTCATTAAGAAAACTGCGCAATGAGTCTTAGGAACTCTCTAGGGGCATTCCCTGGGCCAGCAGCCTTTATTTGGAGCAGACCATCTGAAATATAGCCAATGTCCAATCCATATAGAACTCTTAAAAGTGATCACTGGCATCATGAATGGTATTTGGAAACTGGTGACCAATGCAGCTCCCACAACATTGATGTTATACAACAGAACAGCTAATAAGCAGGCTATTGCATTTTGCATTTGTTATTTCAAGGACAATCCCAATGAAAACAGTCTAATTGTTAGGTGACAAGGATGTGAGTGACTATAAAACTGTGCCTTGTATTACAAGAATAGTTGGAACTACTAACCAGCTGAAGATGAGTACAGAACCTCCAGGACCCAACTTCTACATACTGTTCCAGGAATTGAGAGTTCAGGAATATCCCCAGAATGCATATCAACTCTTTTGGGGGAGCCCAACTTCATCCAGAGCTAAAGTTGGTAATGTACTAGAACTAATGCAAAACTAGTCACTCAGTTTGCTAGGATTGAGTCTCAACCTGGTTCTCTCCATCCAGACCTTAGTGCTTCCAGGTCAAGAATTCCATTGCATCTCCCAGATATTCCCATTGTAGAGATGTATAACTGATGTTAGCCTTATGAGGTAGACCAGGCAGAAATATGAACAGATGAGCTCATTCCAGGGGTGGGTTTCTACCGGTTCTGTCCACCTCTGTAGAACTGGTAGCTCTGAAGAGCAGCAGACATAGAACCGGTGATGTTTTTGCCCATCTGTCCGCCCGGGCTCTTACCTGACCTTTATTTCCTGATTTTTTCAACTTCAACTGCCATGCGAGGCACAGCTGCAGTTAAAAAAGGAGAAAAGTCCTTTTTCAAAGGCTGCTTCTCTGCACGCAGCGTGCCAATGACGATTTACAGGAGCACGCACGCAGCATGTAGGGAAGCACATCATAAATCACCGAACTTCATAAATCACCAAACCGGTAGTTAACCCTGTCGGATCCCATCTCTGGCTAATTCTACATTATTGTTAAGATTATTACATTAATATATTCTTGCAATCTGAAAGTATATCCCTCCCTCTGTTTCCTTTATAGCCCATGAAGCTACGGAAGGTCTCTTCTGAGCTTCTTTCGCCACCCACATTCTCACTGTGGGCTAAGCTACCTTTTCTCTTATCCCTTGGATGTATCTCTACATCCTGTCTCTCAAGGTCAATCCCACATTCCATTACTATTATATTTGGTCTCATTTCTTTCAGAGGTTGTAGCATTAGTCAAGCCCTGAGCCACCAGAAAGTGATCTGTCCATTTAAGTTTCTGCTTTGGTGAAGATAATGAAGTAGGCACTAACTGGGATATTTGGCATTTGGAGTGGAATAAATTAGCTTAGTCCCATTTTTATCTCACATCTTATTCAATACATTTTTATAAGGAAAAACTAATAATCCTGAACCAAAGAATTTATTCTGAGTACCAAAATATAATAGAACTTGAGTTTCATTATAAAATTCCCAGCTATCCAATTTTCATTTACTTTAGCACTACTGTATCATTTAAGGTGATTGCTCATTTATATTTAAGACTAACACAAAACAGGTATTACAATGAAAAACCTTACCTCAAGATTTGCTTCTTACTTTCAGATTTGGAATATTAAATATTAAGAGTATAGTATATATGTGGAAAGTCTTTTAAGAAAAGGCTGAAAGTCAGCTTCAACACTTTCTTTCTTTCTTTCTTTCTTTCTTTCTTTCTTTCTTTCTTTCTTTCTTTCTTTCTT